TTTGTGTTATGCATCCAAATTATGATTCATACATGTGAAATGTTTTGAGCTGATGCCTACTCTCCTGTTTGTGTTTATGTGCTTAATGTTAATACAGGAGTCATACTACCATGTAATGTAAAAGTTGCACACTAGACGGTTGTTTTTTTAAACACATTCTGTACATGTTCAGTAAGAATTAATTAGAGATATTTTGTTAGAATTGTGAACAGAGAAGATTTACATTAAAAATTGATCAAATCAACTTTTCTGTAACATGTACCATTTTACAAATCAATATTGTATATAGGCATATACATAAATATGCGTGTGTGTGTGCGTGCATGCTTTTGTTTGACATGCAGAGGGACACGTAAACCTGCATGAATTTATTTGGGCTTCTTACCTCAACAGTACAACCTATTGTTTGCTTGTTCGACAGGAGTTTTGGGATTGGAGCTGGGAAGAATTGGCTGAGAATGATTTGCAGGCGATGATAAGTTATGTACATACAGAAACAAATTCTAAAGTCTTCTATGTTGGCCATTCACAGGTATTTGGGTAACACCTTGACCCTTCATTCTAGTCGATTGCAATGATATATTCATTTTAGATTTCATATACTGTTCACATCTTTTGTATCACGTCTATAGGTTTATTCATATTCTCCTTATTGGCAGGGAACTATTATGGGTTTAGCTGCTTTCACCATGCCTGATACAGTGAAAATGATTGAAGCTGCTGCACTACTTTGTCCCATATCTTACCTAGATCATCTCAGTTCGAGTTTTGTGCTTAGGGCAGTAAAACTGCATCTTGATCAAGTAAGTTAGAACTTGGCCTATCTAAATGAACTAAAAGGGATTCTTGTGACAGGTTGATTTTTTTACCTCTTCTTCAATGCAGATGCTTCTAACTATGGGTATTCATCAGCTTAATTTCCGAAGGTTAGGTTTCATTTCACTCGAAGATTTTCTTTTGAATTAGGTAAATAAAGAATAAGGAACCAATTTCTATCATATACCAGTGCTATTGGCGTGGAGATATTGGATTATTTATGTGATGGGCATATGGACTGTAGTAACATGCTTGCTGCAATAACAGGTTCTTCAATCACATCGCAATAAACATTAGCCTTCCATTCTATTATGATTTAATTGATATGTACTTTCATGGAAATCTATATTTTTCGTCAATAGCTCTCAAATAATATAATGGATTAAGTTAGCTTGTCTGCTGTATGCTCTACGTAATATATATCGTTCTCAACAGCTTATAATGTAATGGCAGTTTTAATCAATTTTTATCCACGCCACAACATGAAACCTACGGGTTGAATGCTAGATCTAGCCACTTAAATAGATGTTAGATGTTACTATGTAACTAAAGAAATATGCTAGTATTAGCATTTGTGAAGTTTACAAATTCACAGTGAGATTGCTGGCATGCTTGGGATTATGATACAAGATAGTTTTGTATGTTTTTGGGAACAGTTTTTGTTATGATGTACAAAAAATAACCCAGTTCATTGGCTGATTACAAATTCATTTCAAAACTTCTTAATTCTTGGAGCTAATATATAATTTCTTCCGACTAGTTTGAAACAGAGACATAAACATTCTGCTTCCCAGTTCCATTCCCAGATTGTCTTGCACATCAGATAGCTACTCGTGGATGAGTTCAGTATTTATCTACTCTTGATTAATAATTTTTACTGGTTAAACATTTTCCTTAGAATCCTTAACATTTTGCGAATTCTCTAAGTTCAAATATTGTCTTGGTAGTAACTTCCAATCTATCTTTAACAGTCTATTGATGGAATCTTTTCTGAGTTCAAAATTTGTGCTCGGTAATAACTTGCAACTTAAATAAACTACAAGATGCTCATAATCAATGAGATTTCTTTGAAGTAAAGAAATCTTATGTAGAATTATCAAGAACTTATGATTATAAAAGGTTAAAGTATCTTAACCAAATGTGACTGACAGCCACATGATTAATACAGCATTACACCTACAGACAAGATCAAACGTGAGAATTAGCTATGCATAAATGGTCGGCAGATGCTAAATATCATGCCACGTTATGTATGCCATATGTGGTAGTAACCGATTGATTAAATGCTAAAGTGGTATTTCATTTCCACAGGAATGGTTGCTACTTTATTGCTTTTGTAAGCAATGTTTAAAAAAGCGGAAGCGCAAGGCGAAGTGCTAGACCCTTTGATGAAGCTAGGCGTAAGCTTCAAAGCATGAAGCGTAAGCTTCATGAATTTAAATATTTTAATTTTAAATTTGTAAAAATTCTGAACTTATTATATATAGTGACATAATAATTACAAATATATGCATTCATGTCCTGATTAGTAAATAAGAATTAAATATGTGAAGTAGATAAATGAATCATAATAAACTAAGCTACATGCATAAGATATATATTTTATTTACACTCACATAGTCATATTGAAACTATATGGGGGCATTTTAATGTTAGTCAAAGATCCTTTTATGTCCTACTATCTAGCCTTAAGCGTGTGCTTAAAAAAAGCGATTTATGAGGCGCAAAGCGCACATTTCAACTATGCTTTAAGTGATGACGCGTAAGTTCCAAGAGATAAATAGCTTCACTTTTGAGTTCCGAAGCGTTTACCCTTCAATAAGTTGTGAAGCGAGTTTCAAAAAAACTTTTTCAAACATTGTTTGTAAGTTCACTCGATCTCTTTAAGAGTACTGATGGGTATCACTCATATCTTTTAGTTGAAATCTTGTGCTGCCCTCTTATTATTTGTTTGCAGTTTTTCAAATATCGTATCCGAGCAGGTCATAATGGGCTATTGCCTTTATTTTCTTGGTTGCTTCTTATTATCCTTGCATTTCCAACTTTGCAGCATTGATATGTGATACACTCACGCGCACACGCACAGTCTGTGTCTGCACACGCATACACATGGGATAACATAGACATGCATATGTGTTTGTGTATATATATGTATGTATGTATATATATACATACATACATACATACATACATACATACATACATACATACATACATATACACACACATGCATATGTGTGCGTGTGTGTATATGTGTGTGTGTGTAACCCGCGCGCTCACGCACAGTGTATGCATACACACACATGGGATAACAAACAGTCACACACACATGCATATGTATATATGTGTGTGCATATATATGTACACTCTTCATGATCTTGTTTACTTTCAGTGTTCATCTACAACTTTGTCTGACTTGAGAGGTGAGATATTTTGTCAGGTAGCCTTGTGATTTCGTTTTTTACTGTTACTGTTACTGTTCAAATATGAGAGGAACAAGATACCTGTGAAATTTATTTCTTTTATGAGAAACTGTACAGGTGATAATTTATGATTGGCATTTGCAGGAGAAAATTGCTGCTTCAACAAGTCTCGAATAGAATATTATCTGGCATATGAGCCCCATCCTTCATCAACAAAGAATCTGAACCATCTTTTTCAAAGTATGCATTTTACTTTTGAACACTGATTATTAAGCAGCATAAGCACCTGACAAATATAGCCTACCCTTTTTATTATTGTTAACCTTCAAAATTTACTCCTTATCACGTAGTTCCTGTAATTTAACTCTAAACTTACTTTGTATAATGCAAGGCTTGAAATACTGGCTGATACCAGTATTTATTGGCTGCATGTTATGGTGCTTTAGGCATGCCAATCAGATTCATCCAGAATAAGTCAAAATCAGGCATGCTTAAACCCCGAACCTACTCATCTCTTACTGTTAAAAATAAAGAGGATAACATGACCATAAGGTTGCTGGAACCCAGCCCTTATAATTACTCTGTCCAAAGATAAAAATTGTATACAACTCAAACTCAAGTAAAAGAAGGTGGAAGTTCCACAATCTTTAAAATCAGTGACCTCAGAAGTGAATTGATTTCGGAACGCTTCTAGTATTAGATCAGACTCCAGAAAGTTAACTTCCTTTTCTGGATATTTGTTCATTTGGATGTTTCTAGTAGCCATTCATGCTCAAGCATTAAAAATCATTTAGTCTGACAGTGTTCTAACATTTCATATGTGGCCTGGATGCTTGTGTTCGTTTGGATGTTTCTAGTAGTCATTCAAACTCAACCATTAAAAATCATTTAGACTGACGGTGTTCTAACATTTCATATGTGGCGTGTATGCTTGTGGATCTGTTGTGTGCTGAAGTACTTTTGTATTTGGACTCTTGGCTTACAAAAGAAAGTAAATCCGCACTTTCGAAAGGCACATGCATGCATGCCATATTGTCATACGGATAATACTCCCCATTTGTCTAAAAGCAAATTTCATATGGCATGGCAACTCCTACTTGAATACTACCCTTTGACTATTTTCTAGTTTTTGGAGCTTATAGATTGTACACATGAATCAGGTATCCTTACCCAGTTATTGACATTTATAATCTTTACCTCGAGCTCCATTATTCTCATCATCTGGCTCAGTCAGAAAGTTTATACTGCTCCTATGATGTTTTTTTAATACTGCTGTATTGATGTCTATTTTTTATTTTATTTTAGTGATGGAAAAAGGTAGTATGCTATTTACCATATGGCCAGCTTGAGTTTGAATGAGCAACTTACAAGTCCCATGAGACAGCAACTATTGCTTCAGTACAGAAATTCATGGCTTCGTTTTTTTTTCCTTTTCTGAAATTCTCCTCGTCTTTTCTAATTATGACAGTGATTCGGAAGGGAACTTTTGCCAAGTATGATTACGGCTTATGGGGAAATGTAAAACGGTATGGCCATTTTACACCCCCGGCTTTTGATCTTCGAAATATCCCTGAGTCTCTTCCCTTATGGATGGCTTATGGAGGTAGCGACGCCTTAGCCGATGTGACTGATGTCAGAAGGACCATAAAAGAATTGAAATCTGAGCCCGAGTTGTTGTACCTGGATCCATATGGTCACATTGATTTCATAATGAGTGTAAAAGCAAATGACGATGTTTATGTCAGTTTGGTAAATTTCCTTCAGTCAATTGGAGGTTCTAGCAGCAGCTGAAAGTATTGAGTATGGAAATATACTCGTCGAATGTCTATACCGATCTCTTGGAAGTTGTTGAAGATGCGTGCCTTGTAATTAGTTATAAACTAAGAGACACACGTGAGTATGTATATCTCTTACCTTATGTGTGCACAAATGTAATCTGTGTATAACCCGACATGTGATATATCTTATACCTTATATGTATATATACTTTGACGTGCAAATTTATATTTTTATTCTTGTTCACATTGTGTTAGTTGTGAATGGTGGATCATGCAACCGCACTTGACGTCTGTAGCTCCTTGTTTTCGAAAACAACAAAGCTTAATGATACATTTGTTGGGACAAACCCGGGGCTTAATAGAGTAGGGTCTAGCGAATAGTAGAGTGAAAGTAATAAAAAAACACATAAATTTACATGGAAAACGCCCTAAATGAATTTGGAATAAAAATCACGAGCAATGATATAAGAATTCACTATGAGGAAAAACATTGGAGTTGTAATCTCTCTTTACCAGGAGAAATTCTCTATTTTTCTCTCTCACTCTTCTATATGTGGGGTTGTTTTTTCTATATGTGGAGTTGTTTCTGGGATGAATTGTTCCTGAAGAGTTTTGGGCGTATTTATAGCGACTGGGAAAATACTATTCCTAATTTTATAATATTTTTTACTGTGCCAAACTTTCGGTGCTTTCCACTTTCGATGCATAATTTGAGTGGTGGGGCCCATTCACTTTTCTCCTTCAACAATTTCGGCTGACAATCTCCCACTTGAAGATTTGATTGATTATCAATCATATCTTCACACTATTCTTTCTATCTTGCCATCTTCATGTTGCTCATGTCTCCGACAGACCACAAGAGGATCGACACCAAATAAATTTATCAGTATTGACCGTTTTTGTCAAAAAACCTGCTAGATTGTCTTTGGTGTGAATTTTCTACATATCCACTGTTCCTTCTTTCACTTTATATGAACGAAGTGGTACTGAACTCGAATATGTTTTGTCTTTGAATGAAAAGCTGTATTTCTTGCTAAATGCAAAGCACTCTGGTTGTCACAAAATAAAAAAATCTTCTTGTGTTCATGCCCGAGTTTCTCCAGCACCATCTTCAACCATATCACCTCTTTACTAGTTTGTGTAGCTGCTACATATTCTGCTTCTGTTGTTGAAGTAGCCACAACTGACTGTAGTTTTAAAATTCAGCTTACAGCTCCGCAAGCAAGTGCAAATACATAGCCTGTGATGGATTTGCTATTATCACGATCACCTGCATAATCAAAATCAACATATCCATTGATAATAAAATCTGATCCCCCATAATATAATGCAACATTTAAGGTTCCCTTAATGTATCTTAGGACCCTATTTACAGTGTTCTAATGCTCTTTACCAGGATTCGTCATGTATCGACTAACCACTCTCATTGCTTGTGCAATGTCTGGTCATGTACAAATCATAGCGAATATTAATCTTCCCACTGCTGATGCATACGGTACTCGAGACATCTCCATCCTCTCTTCTTCACTGTTAGGACTCATAGTGGAGGATAACTTAAAATTAACAGGAAGTGGGGTAGAAATTGACTTACAATCTTGCATATTAAAACGCCGTAAGATTTTCTTCAACTAATTCTTCTGAGAAAGCCAAATCTTCCTATTAATTCTGTCTCGATAAATTTGCATCCCTAGAATTTTGTTTGCAGATCCTAAATCATTCATTTCAAATTCCCTAGTCAACTGTGCCTTTAATTTTTTGATACGATCTTTGTTGGGGCCTGCAACCAACATATCGTCAACATATAACAATAAGATAACAAAGCTATTTTCACCAAACCTCTTAAAATATGCACAAGGGTCTGAATTAAGTCTGTTGTATACAAGGCTCATGATGAATGAATCAGATCTCTTGTACCAACACCTCTGCGTCTGCTTTAGACCGTACAGAGATTTGTTCAATTTGTAAACCAAGTTCTCTTTTCATTTTCTTCAAAACCTTCTGGTTGGAGCATATAATTTTTTTTTTCAAGATCTCCATGAAGAAATACTGTTTTTACATCTAGCTGCTCTAGATGTAAGTCAAATATAGAGCTCATAGCTAAGACTATTTGAACTGTTGTAAGTCGTACTACAGGAGAAAATATTTTATTAAAGTCAATATCTTCCTTTTGCGCATATCCTTTTACTACCAATCTAGCATGATATCCCTCCACTTGATTATCGCCATTTTGCTTAATCTTATAGACCCATTTATTTTCAATGGTCTTTCTTCCTTGTGGTAGTGACACAAGTACCCAAGTCTTATTCTTATGGAGAGTTTTAATTTCTTATCGTATCGCTGCCATACATAAAGATGCATCTGTACTATTTATAACTTCATGAAAAGTTGATAGCTCTCCATCATCTGTTAAAAGACAATATGCAATATTACTCTCCGTAATATACTTCGGGTACCAAGTTGGTGGTCTTCTCTCACGAATTGACCTTCGAACTTCTGGAGCCTCGGACTTAATTGGTTATTGTACATCATGCTCCGATGTTACTTCCGAAGAATTTAAATTATTTTCTACCTGAACACTAAAGTCTCTGAGTCCTTGTAGGCGTCAAAAAATGCTGAAAAGATATCCAAATACAGCTCAAGAGGAAATCATTCAAAAAATCAAAAGAACGCAAGTATAGACTGTCTCGCACGCGAGACAGTCTTTGCTGTCTCGCCGTGCGAGACAGCCTTTGCTGTCTCGCTGGGCGAGACAGCCTTTAAAAAATCAAAAACTGTTTTGTAACCATCGACACGTGGCCACTAACTGTTCAAGAACGTGGGAAACGTCGTGGGCGAGAATCACGTTGATAACTGTCAATATAACGGAGTTGTAAAACGTGGGAAGGTAGTTACAAGAAAACTGCTGGGCGGTTGAGGATTTCTGAGACAGCATTTACTGTCTCGGAACCCGAGATAGTGTTTACTGTCTCAGAACCCGAGACAGTCTTTGCTGTCTCGACCGCCGAGACAGCAAACACTGTCTCGGAAGTGGTTATTCGTCCAGGGGTTATAAATACCCCCTGGTGATCATTTGTTTGAGGGGCGGATTTTTTTTGAGCACTTTGGAGCAGAGAGAGCAGAGTTCCTGAGCTTCTGGTAATACCTTGAGATTCGAGCTTTGACTTGATCTCAAGAAGAACGACTATCTTACTTTGATAAGATATCGTTTCAAATTCTCACTTCGATAAACGAAGGAAGAATCATTAAACCCCTCACGATTCAATCAGAATCTGTGATTTGGTGGTCCACGAGTCAAAGCGCTCCCGGCACAGGCAAAGATCCCACGCAAGCAGTGATCCAAACAACGATCCTGCGTTTGTTTCTAAAAAGTTATAATTTTCATTTTGTTGTGTAAAAGAGGTCTTATAAAAAGGCTATTTCTTTTGAATTTGTTGTAATCGATCGAAGATATAATGAATTCCACAACGAGACCAACTTTTGACGAAAACAGTCCTTCCTTGAGCTGCTTTTTTCTTCACTTTGTAGTTAGTTCTCTACAAAGATAACATCTATGTTTGATAACTTTACGGTCAGTGGGATCCTACAAGCGATACCCCTTTACTCCGTCAGCATATACCCCAAGAATATACATTTTCTAGATTTTGAATCTAGCTTTGTAATTTCTTGGGTATTGTACATTACGTACACTAGACTTCCAAATATATGGAGGTTAGAATAATCAGCTGGCTTGCAGTTGATGGAGATCGATTCATCACATAACAAGCGATTTTTACTGCTTCCGCCCAAAAGATTTTATCTAGATTTGCAGTTGCTTGCTCTTGTTCTTTCCAACAGAGTTATGTTCATCCGCTCTGCCATGCTATTTTGTTGAGGAGTATAAGCAGCATTGAATTGCCTTTTGATGCCTTCTTACTTGTAGAATGTAGGAAATTCACCGTCTGTGTATTCTCCTCCATTATCTGACCTTAAACACTTGATCTTCTTTTCAGATTCAAGCTCGACTCACGCTTTGTAGGCTTTAAAGATTGAGAACACATCCGCCTTCTTCTTGATAGGATACACCCAACATCTCCTAGAGTAATCATCGATAAATAACACAAAATATTTTTCTCCTCTCATGGGTGTAACTGGTGCTTGCCATACATTAGAATGAACTAGTTTCAGAATAGCTTTGCTTCTAGAACTCGATGTATTGAACTTCAGCCGATGCTGCTTACTTATAACACAATGCTCACAGAATAGAAGAGCTACCGAATTAAGTTCACGAAGCAGCTTCTGATCGGAGAGAATCATCAAGTCTCGTTCTGACATGTAACCTAGTTTGCGATGCCACATCATGGATTGTTCTTATCGATGGCTAGTTGATGTCACAGATGAATCAACATCCTACAGGGTTTCTCTCTTGAGCATGTATAGATTTACAGCTACCTTTTCTCCTTTTATCACAACAAGCGCCCTTCTAACAATCTTCATGATCCCGTTTTCTATATGGATATTGCACCCGAGCTCATCTAATTGTCCTAAAGACAATAGATTCTTCTTCAAGCCCTTCACATGTCGTACATCTTGAATAGTGCGTATTGTACCATCAAATATTTTGATTTTGATAGTGCCAATACTAGAAATCTCGAAGGCATGATCATTGCCAATGAATACAAACCCTCCTGAGATAGGTTCATATTTGTGAAACCATTCTCTTCGGGAGGTCATGTGCTAGGAGGTTGCTGAATCTAGAAGCCAGACATCAGCAAGCCTCTTTTTACCTTCATCAATAGTGGTTGCTCCACTGTATAAAATTTTACCATTATCTGACAACGCATCCTTGAGATGTTGATGGCTCTGAAGACTTTTTATCACCACTTTTCTTATTGTGCCAACACTCCAATTTCACGTGCTCTCTTTTGTCACAATTGTAGCATTTGATATTCTTCTTACTTCTTGATTTTGATCTATCATGAGTATGACTCCTATTGGAGCCACGTTCCGTTGATCTTCCTCTCGTCACCGATAAGGCCTCCGCTTGTTGCAATCTTGCCTGTCTGTCTTCCTTATTCTTGCGTTGGTTTTCTTCCTTCAGAACAGGGACTGTAACATTGTCGAAGACTAGATTGTTCGTGAGGACGTTGATTGTTAGGTTGATGATGAGCTGATCATACGAGTCAGGTAGACTCTAAAGTAGAAGTTCTGCACGTTCATTCACACAGATTGTATGCTCCAACGTTGTGAGTTAGGAG